TGAGGGCATCAGTCTGATTAAATTAGGGCCCACCCTAAAGGCTTCATTTTAATTTTATTTCCTTTTTAAAAGCCTTATCTCCAAATACAGTCACATTCTGAAGTACTGGAGGCTCGGGCTTCAACATATGAATTTGGAGCGACACAACTGATACCAATACCGTCTCTAAAGCCTGACTCACATATACATCTTGATGTCTATTTGTACCTCCAATCAAACACCCTTTCATAAATGGATGCACGAATGAGCATGGTAGAGCTTCACAGCAAAAGTCCTTTCTCTAGTGACTTTCTTCTGTTCATAGAGGCTGCAAGGTTCCCTTCCGCTCTCTCTTCCCTGGGCTATCTTTTCTTCTGCTCTTATAGACAGCAACAGAGACTAACCAGTGGTGCATTAGTTATCTGATGCTGCTTAACAGTATTACCACAAACTTAACTATGTAAACAGCACACATTTATTATCTTATACTTTGCGAGGTTCAGAATCCAGGCTTAATGTGGCTGAATCCTCTGCTTAGGGTCTCATAAAGCTGTAAGCAAGGTGCCAGCCAGGACTGCGGTCACTTCTGAGGCTACTCTGGGGAAAGACCTTCAAACTCACTCAGAAGTCAGCTGGCAGAATTCAGATCCTTGTGGTCGTATGACTCAGGCCTTCAGTTTCCGGATGCTTGTCACCCAGCTACTCTCCACTCTTAGAATTTGCCCATAATTTCCTTGGCACTGGGGCTCCCAACATGGCCATTTACTTCCTCCAAGGCAAGAAAGCAGCTCAGTAAGATGGAACTAAGATCGTGGGGCCCACAATCAGTACTCACACGCATTCCATCCCCTTTACTGTATTCTGGTTAGAAATAAGGCATGAGGGTCACCTTAAGGGTCTACTTACCTTAAGGGTCACCTTAAGGGTCTACTTACCTCAGCTGCCTCTGCTTTCTCAGCTTTCCCCTCTTCCTCTCTCTGTCAGGTCTCTGTGGTCAGGGCCCTGTGCCTACCTGATGCCACAGAAATAAGAAAGGGGCATAGTCCCTCACCCAGAGAAAGCGCCTCTGCTAGCACACACTGCCCGTGTGAAAGCTGTCCGAAAATAGCTCATCGATTTTACTGTCATGCAGTGAGAGGAACAGAAGAGCTCAGGCTGTGACGAGGACCTCAGCTGCCTGAAATGCCCCATGGTAGGGGGATGACCATCCTTTGCATTTAACTAAAGCCCCAGAGCACAGAGCATACTCCTCTGCCACAGTCCCTAGCGTGTGGAGACTTGTTCCATCACTAGAAGTGCATGCTTATCTTGTGACTTCCCAAATTCCAGCCTCTGAAGGGCCAGGGCCTTGCCCAATTTTTCATTTTAGTTGTTCACTTAAAATTTAGCATATAGTAGACATTTAACATACATTAGGAAGAATTGATTGACCCTGTAATTTGAAAACAAATGACTAGACTATGGTGTCAGAACCTAGAGAATTTAGGGAAACAATTTGTTAAATACATAGAAGAGAATGAGGTCCTTATAACCAAATTCTATTCAGTCATATAAAAGGCAGCCAAAATAGATTAAATGGAAACTGAAATTATGTACCATTACATTTCCCGGAAGGCAGCTATGCTCACCACTATACCACCAACTCTCATTATATTTCTTGTAAAAGAAAAAATTATAACAATGGATACTGATAATGATAAGAACTGGCACAATGGATATTATCAGTCATAGTCTACATTTTATTTTCCTGTTAATGTGTGGCATTTTTATTTATTTTTCAGTGGAGGTGATCATGCAGGTTAGACAAGCCCTTTACCACTAAGCTATACCCATAACCACATTTTACATTTTGGTTGAAAATAATAGTAATACAAAGAGCACAAGGAACCCCAGTGGCTCAGAAATGAATCATGCCTCACTTCTTTTTTATAAATACACAGTTATGATGCTGTTGATTCACAGAATTCCACAAACACTGACGGGGAGTTTACCCCCGTGCAAAGTGCTAGGCCAGTGCCAGGGTTCTAGAGGTGGGAATGTCAAGGGCAGTGTACCTAGATTTCATCAAGGTATTCGACAAAGTGTCTCATGATCCAGTGAGGACTAAGGCAGAGGGAGGTGACTGGTATGAAACTATAAGATGGTTTTGCAGCTGACTGAATAGCCCGCCCATATGGAGAGTTGATAAATAACTAATTGCCCATGGGCAGCAAGCCTCCCATGTGAGTCCACAGTCAGTCCTCTTACGGCTGCCCTGGTCAACATCTTTATATATGACTCAAGCGAAGGAGATGATAAGCCGAAGTTTACAGTAACAGCCAGTGGGTGAAAGAAGCAAGATGCAAAATGATCTGAACAGTGTGAAATTCAGCAAGGATCTTTGTAAAGCTCTACATTTAACTTTCAAGAAAATCAGCAGCACAAACTCACAGTGATTCCTGGCTTGGTAGCAGTTCATGTGAAAAAAAAAAAAACTGGGTTTTTATTGACCACAGTTTCATTCTGAGGCATTAATGGAATGTGACTGATAAAAACAAAAGCTAGGGCAATTCTTGACCACAGCCATAAATCTCGTGTCCTGATAAGAGGGTGGCAGTTCAGTCCTGTTCTAGTTAGGCCACACTGGAGATCTATTTTCTCTTCTCGGCATCCGTTTCCTTGTTGGAACATGGCGCCCTTGACCCGTATTTGTGAAGTAATCTTTTCTCACACCCCTTTTCCACCCTGGATTCTAACATACTCTCGTAAGCATTGAGCTCGCCCCTTCTTAAGTAGCAAGATGACAAAGCAGTAATGTCATGTGAACCAGGCTCCTTACAGAGATTTTTGTTAACTTGTTCTTTTATTGCAGTTTCCACTCCCTGGGAACCGGGGTCTAAATCTAGGGAGAATGAAATGACTGGAAGTCTAATTTATAGCCTTTATGTGCACTCCAAACAAGCCTCCCCTCCCCCCAGTCAGAACACAATACTTTGTCCTTGAACCAGGCTGCCCTTCTTAGATTCTTATTCTTCCTACAAAGACTCCAAGAGATCAGCCTTGCTAGCCTCCTACAGGAATCTAAGTCTACCATATAGTTCGAAAACTCGTATCCCTGCTACACTTAGATGCAAAGTCAGCAGAGTCAGAATGTGAAAGTTCCTCTTTCCCCCTCTACTAACTAATTCTCTCTTCCAAGAGATCCATCCCAATTCTTACTTCTTCACTCTCCTCAGCCCTAGTGAGAATCGGGAGGAGGGAAAACTATACAGAAGAGAGGAGGGAAAAGAAGATACAAAAAGGAGAAAAAGAGCATTACCCTGATCCCAAAGAAAGGTCCTTTTGTTACTGTTCCAGCAAATTGTAGTTTTCTCCTTCCTTTGTTCATCGTCCCTCAAGCCTCTTCAATTCATATACCTGCCCAAGGACTAGAGAAATTGCAGGTTTGCAAGGCCCACTCCCACCAAAGGGGTTGATCTTGAAACTAGACCCAGTCCAGAAGATCCACCATCTACCCTAGCAAGATGCCCACTGTTGCACTAGGGTAAGGCCCAATCAGAAGCTGCACACACCCGTTTCTTCCTTGTCCAACAAAAGCCCGAAAAACTGTTGCTTCTACCACTAATGCCCTCAGATTGAAAGGGTGGGAGTACATCTATAGGTCCAGCTCTGTCCAAAATACTGTGACTGCTTTATCTCATGGAATACCCACACTAAATTCGGCACTGAGGTGTATTAATTAAGATGTCTTTCATTCAAGAAGCAAAACGCTCAACTCAAAATGACATAAATGGTAAAGAGAGTTATTGATTCACACTTTGAGTAACAGATGTGGAATGGGCTGCAGGAAGTTCAACTTCAGAGTCAACAACTTTATCAAAGAGTCCTGGGTCATCCACTGCTCTACCCCCTCATCCAACTGTGAGAGAGTCAATCTAGGGCTGGCCTCTGATTTAGCCTCAGGGTGGGTCTTCTTTGCAACTGAAATCATTTATATCCCTATTCTTATGTAGCAGGAGAAATAAAACTTTATTTCCTCTCCTCTCCTCTCCTCTCCTCTTTTCTCTTATCCTTTCCTTTCCAGCAACAACCAGTAAACTTCTACATGCTCATTGCCTAATTTAGGTCAAGCCCCATGACTGAGTCTACACTAATAACCTGGAAACAAAATTTTTCTAGGCCTGAGCACTCAGCAGGGGAATGGTCTTTCACCTCAGCAAAAGTCATGAGAGTTAACAAGGGAGAACAGGAGCTAATGAGACAATCCCAAGGCTCTCTCAAATGCGTATGACCAGTTTTGCAGAGGAGACACCAAGCTTGGAGAAGCCACGCAGCTGTGTAATGGTGACACCAGTATTCTCCTCCTGCTCTGAGGATATCTTGAGGAATCAAACTGAAAAAAAGCCAAACTCCTCATCCCTTTGGCTTTAGTCTGAACCATGGGAAAGAGAAGCAGGGTTTTCCCAAGGCTGAGAAGATCTCAGCTGCTGTACTGATGCCAGGAGCCACTAAATCAACCACCTCACAAAGCTGAGGTATCTTGGAATCCACACATTACCAGGGACTTTCCCAACCTCAAGAAACGTCTGTAAACTGAAGACAAGACACTACAGGTGTATTGCCCACACAGGTGTGTTCTTAGAGGTCTGCTTTCCAAGTCCTCTCTAGTTCAGTCAGTGGTGTGGGCTAGCCTGGGAACATTGCTGCAACACATAACATTGCTCCGCCTGGGGAATATCTTCCAGGTTCCAAAGGACAGATTTGCAAATAGATGTCTGGAGCACAACCCCATCCATGCTGGGAACTGCCTTTGTTGGACTTGTTTGTTTGGGAGAGCTGTTCTGGACTTTCACCCAGCAGCTGCCTGGAAGAAGGCAACCTGGCTTTAGCTGACCGAGGGTGGGGCTAACAGCAGAGGAAAGCTGAGAGCTGCTGTTCACTTGGCACCTACCTCTACCACAGGAGGGGAAGGGCGGAGTCTTCAGAGGCTATAATACAGAGAGTCTCCAACAGGGAACCTCATGCAAGGGGCCTGAGTGTCCCCAACCACTTCCACATGGTCAGAGAGGGAGAGAAAAAGTTGACTCGCATGATGGGAAAGGTTTTTGTAAATTCTGAGGGCTACTGAGTATATAATCTTTCCTCTAAGCAGCTGCTGTTGGGGTCTCTCACAAGGCAGCTTCAGATTGGAGTGTCATGGCCTGCCACAGCCATGCTGGCCTTGAAGATTTCTGTGTTCTATTTTGAGCAGTTTCACTGTGGATGATCCTGGCAAATGTGTCCATTTTCTGACAATATTTAGAGTCTGAGGTAAGTGTGAACTAGATAATGGCCTTTCAAGTCATGCAAAACGTTCCGTTTAAAGCTTTAATTTCTTCCTCAGAGCATCTGCAAGGTCCTTTGACCCTTGTTCGTGGCCTTCTGGAGAGCTTGCCAAGTTTCTATCTCCTCTCGCGTGTCCAGGTGGGGGGAGGTGATGACAGACGGGCAGAACTTCATGTGTGTTGGGTCATGAAAGGCAGAGGAACCCACAGGGATCACTACTGCTTCTGCAACTTTTGCAACTCGTTCTGAGATGCACAGTGCTGACCTGTTCATCTGCGGCTTTTCTTTCTCTCTGGACATTTTAGGATCTCCCTAAAAGCACATGTGAGAGCATACCACCAGTCCCCACTGTGAGTCGTTCCTTGGACTTGGCTAACATTTCAAACCTGCCATGACTAAAACAATACATATCTGCAGCTTAGCTCTAGGTGACTCACCAGAAGGGCTATTTTAAACAGAATTCATAGCGACTAAGATTACATTTGTTCTAGAAAAAACAGCCTGAAGGGACAAAAAGCTAATGCAATCTTTTTGAACTGCTCTTTTCAAGCTCATAGAAGCCCTGCTGTATTTTCTTGACAGCAACCTAGTTACCAGGCACAACAGGACGACTAAGAATTGGTATCTAAAACACCATGCCTTAACCACATTCGGCAGGAGTGTGCTCATCAGAAGACAGGTTCACCAAAATAGTGAGGGTCTTGTCCATCTTCCCACCAGGGAAGTGCTTGACAAATACCCTGTAAAATAACACTTGTCAGGCTAGAGCTCTGGTAGCCTTAGGAAGGGCAATAGCTTACCAGTCACCTGTCCTATTGCATGGATCTCTGCAGTTCTCCTGGAAGTTAACTGTTGCTACTCTTTTCCCCATCCCAGAATGCAGAAGCAAATTGGAGTCTCTAGCTCTAACATTTGAGCTTGGACAGAGTTTCTTGGAGCAAAGAACCAGTGGATAGAAAGAATAAGGGGATTTCACGCTGCACAAATCAAGTACAAAGGTAAGAACAAACCTCATTATTTTTCTGAGAAGCTACTTCCCTTCTTGGGGTAAACAAACGAATCCAGGAGAGAAAGCTTGAGGACTGTCAAGAGAATCTTCAAGAGATGAAGCAAAGTTGGAACAACTACCCCAAACCAGTGTTCCTCAGTTATCCCTCCTATTTAAGGTCTTTCACTTTCCTTCCCTTTTCATTATTATACAAACCCCTTTCCTGAACTTTTCCTCACGCAGCTGAGACAGGTTGGAATTTTCCAAGTCTTACAGAATTCTAAGGGAGAACAAGGGGGACATAAACAAGAAAATACATGAAGGATAAACATAATCAAACTTGTGCAATATATTAACAGTAGTGAAATTTAGGGAATGGGACATAGAAGGGAGGATTTTGTACATTACAAATTTCTTGTTTATTTTTCAAGAGCCATATTTACTTTATGAGAAACACACATATGTTGAAGCTTATACAGTACTGGCTTTGGCCCTTCCATAGCATTCTAGCTCTGATGGTTCATTCTACCTACAGACTTTTCACCTGATTGATTGTGACACTCAACCTTCTGCTTCTTTCTAGTCCCACCCTTCCTCAGCAGGACTCACAGATCTTCTTCTGAGAACAATAAATGATAAGCCTGATCATTCACCCAACAAATATGTTTCTGTGCAAGCTGCAGTGGCAGATACTAAATAAACCATCACATGCCTTTAGTGTGTATCAGTATCATTCAGATGCCTTTTCTATTGATAGGAGAAAAGATTAAGAGTCATAGACCTAAAAAGTCTCAGATCCTACATTTTTTAAAAAGCCACTTAGAACTATGCAAAAACACACTTAACAGGCTCCTTAATCCCTGCCAACAAAAAAAGATTATGGCTGAAAGAATTCTCAAATACAACAACATCAACAACAGGAAGGAACTCATTTGCACACAAATGATCTTCCCAAAGACTGTAAAGAGGAAAACCCCACTTTCTGAAATTGTAAGCAGCACCAAGGTACGAATATTGTCCACACAAGGCAATCCCTGTCCTCTGGTCCCTTCAATCAGATGACTAAGAACCCGTATCAGGCCCATCTAAGTTATGACTCTCAGCTCTTACCTGGACTTCAAGGAACCACTAATTTTCTGCCTCTTATCCTCTAACCTAAGGTCAAGAATTTCCACTTAGCAGTGATTCAACTTGGGCTATTCTTAACTTTCCTGAGAATGCCTCTTCTTTAACCTGCCTCAGTTTTCTCAAGGAAGAAAAAGAAAAAACCTCTAGAAACACACAAATGAACTTCATCCCAAGCTTTACATCTAGTTCTACTGAGAAAGACACTTCCACGGGGCACTGCCAAGGAACACTAGCCACCGACACGCCCTTCAGGGAACAGTCTGTGCTCAGGACATTTGTCTGTGGTTATGGCTGTCATGACATCACTGACCTATGAGGAAAAGACATCCAAACCCTCAAGGAGCCTGGGCCTTGGTCAAGTATCTCACTGGCCAGAGCCCTGCCTGTGCTCCCTTTTGGAAGGACATCAAGGAGTCTGCCTTTCTCTCCCAAGTCCCAGCAAGCTTATTCCAATGGATGGGGCAGGCAAGAGTTAATGGCACAAATGGGAACAACCACTCTTGTGACCCAACAGTTTACCCTAGGAAATGACAGGCCAGATGGCACGTAACTATACAAACATGTATTCCTTAAAACCACTCCCCCCGAAAAAAAAATTCTTCAAGGCTCTTGGTTAAAATAAACCAACACAGAGCCAGGCATGGTGGCGCACATCTATAATCCCAGCACTTGGGAGGCTGAGGCAGGAGGATCGTTGTGAGTTTCGAGACCAGCCTGGGCTACAAAGTGAGCTCAAGGCCAGCCTGAACTGCAAAGCGAGACCCTGTCTCAAAAAAAAGGAAAAAAAAAAAAAAAAGATAAACCAATACAGAACCATCCTCAAATTATTTCAAAAATTTCTTCTGAAGGAAACAGCAGGTGGCAGCAAAGTTTTACATTTTTTTACCCTTTGGACTGGAATGAAAATAAAATGTCAGGGAATAAACTCATCTCTGAGTCAGACAGCTGGCTCAGAAATGGGCACTCTGCCATCTTGTAATGTGAAGAGTACAGACTCTTGGGGGAGGGGAGGACTCCATGCATTTTGACAAGATAATCTCCCCCAAAACCCCCACCCTACACCAATCTAAAGGCCGTCCTGGTTTTGCAGGCCAGGCAGGGAAGTGACTGTGGCAGGGTAACCAGGTTCCAGAGACTGTGGCCATGAATCTCATATTCATTTGCCCGGTGTCAAGGCATTGCCCATTCACAGTGAGAGACTCAAAAAAGCATGAATATGACTTAGTGGAAGTATGCCTAAGAATTAGCATCTGTCTCATAGCATTTTAACCACCTCTTATGATGTAATCCATGGCAGAAATGTGGGGGCTAAGAAAGGTGCAGGAGAGAAGTTAATAAAATCTGTTTCTGGTGTACCTAGCGACTTAGAGACCTCTGAAAGCTATATCACCACCCCTTAGCTGCTACAGCTCTAGCTCAGGAATGGCAGTGCCAAGCCCACTGTCCAGTTTGGCCTCAAATGTCTTCCTTGCCTTAGTGTCATGCTTGGCTCCTAACTTCAGGCTGTGGCTGGCAGGATTCCATTGCCACAGTCCGCTGGAGTTCAGACCCAAGCTTTTGCTGAATTGTTTTACAGGGCAAATACAGGTTTGCCTTAAGTAGTGACTGGTCAGTTCATCCCACCTGTAAATGGTGCTTTGAATTCTCAGGCACACTTTAGATTAAGCGATTTCACTTCCATTTTAGAGGAAACTCTCATCTTTTAAAGTAGAGAATGAGAGACAGAAGGAGGATGGAAGGTTCTGTTATTATTTTAAAAGATACAAAGCCTTGTAAGAAAAAAAAAAAAAAAAGGACAAAATTGAAGAGCTTCTTCCTAAGATCCAAAACAGATCTTGCAAACAGATGTATTTATGAATTTTATTTCTGGAAGTGGAATTGACAGAAAAGTGAGCAGCCTTGGCCTTTTGTAAGTTATACCACTACATCTGCAGCACCTCAGCTCTTGGTGATTAGTTAGTACATTCTTGAAAGGAGCACTGAGAGTAGGAGAAGCTCATTATCTCCATAATTGAGGCTTCAGCTCCAAACATGTGTGGTTGTTTTTTTTTTCTTTCCTATAGAAAACATGATCTTATTCTGACAAGTTAAGAACAAACTTCACAGCTTGGCTGCATGGAGAGGGTCATTTAAAAATATTTGTGGAGGAAAACATTCTACAATTCCTTTGAATGTAATAAACAATATCTTTTGGGGCAACTTGCAACAAATGTTCCAGAATTCATATCAACATTTAACTCTCCCTCTGTGTGCATGCTCTGCACTCCCCAACTATGATGCGAAATCATTTAATGTAGAGAATTGACAGCACCAGGAAAATATTTGGATTGACTGTCTGGAGTTGCCATTATTGGCTTTAATTATGACCTACTGGCTCTTGGGTCCTGAAGCAGCCAGAAAGTGAGACATGTGTGCTAAAGTATTCATTAGAATTCCCTTCTTAGTCATTGTTCAGAAAGAAAAAGTTCCCTTCTGGCTCTCATCCTCAGTATTTTAAGTGGAGTCATTAATATGCCAGATTTTTTAAAGGATCCGTCAGAAAATAAGATTATGCGCATACCTTGTATTCTGCATGTAAAAACATCTTAAGCAGTCAAATGTCCCTTTGCTCTCATCTATCACCCTGAAGAAAAATGGTTTTTGCAGCCGTGACATGAACTGGTATTCTCCAGCCAGGCGTCTTCCTCCAAGCCCAGCTCTCTTGAACAGACTTAGTCCTATAAGCTTTGGAACTGCAAGTTTTGGTGACGCACAGCTTAAGTCTCTAAACTAGTCAGAAAAGATGGTTGATGTTCTTCAGATCTTTCATGCTTATGTCTCCCTGAATATAAGCTCTTAAAATGGTGGAGTTAAGAGGGGAGGAATCTTACGGATCATTGACTCTATGTCCTTTTTTAATAAATGATTTATCTAAGGTGAAATCTATTGCTTGAACTTTGTGTCCTGGCATGGTTTGGTTTGATTTTGTTTTTAAACTGGGATAGCCATAGTTGTTCCTATTACAGAGTTGCCATTTGACGAGCATTTACTACACTGCCAACCAGGGGTTGATGCTTTCCTATGTGTTGTACCATTCATCTTCCCAACAAGCCCAAAAGGGAAATATTGTTATCCCCATTTTATAACTAATGAAACTGAGACTGAATTTAGAGATTTGCCCACAATTATAGGGCTAGGAGGAGGGAGAGTCTGCATACAAACTCAAGATTGTCTGACTTCAAAACATTTACTATCCTCCTCCCATTTGCACGCCAAATAAAACAAAGCCAGATTATAAATCAATTGGGATATCTTGGGCTGTCACAACACTTTCATGCTTGAAATAATGAGGTGAGTCATCCACAGCGAGAAAGTAGAAGAGGAAGCCCAAGCAGTCCCCACTTAGAAGAATTTGCAAAGGGGCTGGGGATTTAGCTCAGGGGCAAAGCGCCTGCCTGGCAAGTGCAAGGTCATGAGTTCGGTTCCCGGTGCCGGAAAAAAACCAAAAAAAAAAAAAAAAAGAATTTGCAAAGACACCACCAGGAATCATATAGATGCGACTATTTCCCATTATCTGCTTGTTATATTGGATCTGACAGTTTACCCTGAAAGCTTTTGAAAGACTTCCCTGCTTTTAATAAAAGTTGGCTGATTCGGTATTGACAATTTATCTTTCATTTAATAAAAACTCAGTGGAGGGAATTTGGGAAAGATGCTTATTTGGGGAAAAAATAATTTGGAGTTTTGTTGTTTTATTTTTTATGATCCAGGTCACGTGGGACTGGGAGAGCAGATGTGGTGTGAAGTAGGGAAGCTTATCTGATTGTCGTCCACAGTGGCACAAATGATAGGGTTATTACCTGGAAACACTCGAGTTTTCCATTGGAACACGGCTTGGGAAAGAAACTGCTGTTTCAGAAAAATTAAATAAGTTAAGAGAAAGTTGAAATGTTACATGTTGAGTTAAAGAACATGAGATAGGGACATTTACGGGAAATGTCTAAGTTTGTTAATCTAGGTACCAAGGAAAACTATATAAATTGAAAATGTACTTCATCTCAAAGAGAAAAATCATATTTCTGGATTAGTTATAAGTAACTTCCTGATTCCTGGTCCCGCAGTGCCTTTTGTAAATGAGATCACTTGAACCCCTCTGCAAGTAGGTATGTGCCTGGTCAAGGTGAGTTAAAGGACATTAACTCCATGTTGGGCTATTTCAAGGTCAAATCAACTTCTTCCACTGTGTTAGTCATCTTTTCATGGCGATATTTCCAAATACCTGAGAATATCAACTTAAAGAATGAGAAGGGTTATTTTGGCTCACAGCTTCAGAAGGTTCAGTTCATGGTCTGCCAGTTCCATTGTTTTTAGGCCTGTGGCAAGGTACAAACCTCATGGCAGAAGGGCATGGTGGAAGAAAGCTGTTTATCTCAGGGTATCTGGGAAACAGAGAGAAAAAGACCAAGGACAAGATACAGTCCCCAAACTCATTATCTCATAGCCCACACCCTTCAAATAGGTCCTACGTGCTAAATTTCCATTATCTCCCAATAATGCTGTCAAATTATGATCTCACCAATTGATTAATCC